AGGGTGATACTTCCCCAGGAAAACAAGGGCCAATCTCGCTGATGTCTCACCGTTTTTTCGGTGATAAGGGAGGGTGGGGCACCTAGTGACAGGGGCACCTAGTGACACAGGGGTGCCCTGGCCACCCTATGGCACTTTCAGACATCTTGAGGTGGCTTGTCTAAAGGTCTTGTGCTGTGGAATCATGTTCAAGTGAAAGTGAGACTTTGAACAAAATATGTTAGCCCCTAGAATAAAAGCAAAAAAATAGTTACCCAAAATCACAGATTTTACGACTTTTTTACAAAATGTTTTCTCGCCATTCTTCCAGTACACGGCTCTGCCGATCGTTCTGGCACTTTTAATCAATAATAAGGACCTTTAGTAAGTTGTTTTCGCTGAACCAGCTCAAACATCTGATTTTATTTCTTTAATATCAAATTTTGAACGGAAATGAGCCCCCGGGGCAGGTAGTGACAGACACACTCTAATTACCGTATTTCAACGATTTAAACGTTTCAAAACATCGATTTGTCAACCACGAAGTAAATTGTCACCGATTGTCACACAACGAAACATGAATGAGACTAATTTGTACGACAATTTCGTAGAACATTCAATTTGATTGGCAATGTAGTAAAATGCAGTTTCTTGGAAAAAAATGGCGCCGTTCAGAATGGTTTGATATTTAAAAAGCTTAAAGAGTCTGAAACAGATAATTTTCAATTAGCTGGAGCGTCGCTCTATGCTAGTAACGTGAGTTATATGACCTGTCACTAGGTGCCCCGGGCTGGGGCACCAAGTGACAAGTGCAGAGGTCTGCGGGAAGCTATGTAAATAATAGAAATAGGTGTTGTCAAAACGCCACAACATCTTTTTGCGATCAAGGAAGGATCAAAGCAACCTTCTGAGGTGTAAGCAGATTCATTTCTCGCACAGTATCGGAGTGAGTGCCAAAATCCAAAAAGTGTCACTAGGTGCCCCACCCTCCCTTACATTTCTGTACGACCCTTTTTTCGGTGATACATGCGTGTACGACCATTTTTTCGGTGATACATGCGTGTACGACCATTTTTTCGGTGATACATTTTGTATCGCCGAAAATTGGTGAGATGTCTCACCCTTCGAATTTCAGTGGAGCACGTTTTAGCGATGGCGCTACGTTGGCAAGCCTGCGGCTCGTTCGAATTCGCAGTTCAAATTCTGAAACTTTTTTCAGGTGTTCTCTACCCTAAGGCCTACCACCGTGCTAAATTTCAGAATTTGAACTGCGATAGGAAGGGAACTGCACAGGTTGGAAAAGAACGCATTTTTGGCAATGGTGCTTAGTTGGCAGGCCTGTGGCTCGTTCGAATTCGCAGTTCAAATTCTGAAACTTTTTCCAAATGTTTTCTACCGTAAGGCCTACCACCGTGCTAAATTTCAGAATTTGAACTGCGATAGGTGAGGAACTGCAGACGTTCGAAAAGAGCACGTTTCAGCGATGGCGCTAAGTTGGCAAGCCTGCGGCTCGTTCGAATTCGCAGTTCAAATTTTAAAAAAAATTTCCAGGTGTTCTCTACCCTAAGGCCTACCACCGTGCAAAATTTCAGAATTTGAACTGCGATAGGAAGGGAACTGCACAGGTTGGAAAAGAACGCATTTTTGGCAATGGTGCTTAGTTGGCAGGCCTGTGGCTCGTTCGAATTCGCAGTTCAAATTCTGAAACTTTTTCCAGGCGTTCTCTACCCTAAGGCCTACCACCGTGCCAAATTTCAGAATTTGAACTGCGATAGGTGAGGAACTGCAGACGTTCGAAAAGAGCACATTTTAGCGATGGCGCTAAGTTGGCAAGCCTGTGCCTCGTTCGAATTCGCAGTTCAAATTCTGAAACTTTTTCCAGGTGTTCTCTACCCTAAGGCCTACCACCGTGCCAAATTTCAGAATTTGAACTGCGATAGGAAGGGAACTGCACAGGTTGGAAAAGAACGCATTTTTAGCAATGGTGCTAAGTTGGCAGGCCTGCGGCTCGTTCGAATTCGCAGTTCAAATTCTGAAACTTTTTCCAGGCGTTCTCTACCCTAAGGCCTACCACCGTGCCAAATTTCAGAATTTGAACTGCGATAGGTGAGGAACTGCAGACGTTCGAAAAGAGCGCATTTTAGCGATGGCGCTAAGTTGGCAAGCCTGTGCCTCGTTCGAATTCGCAGTTCAAATTCTGAAACTTTTTCCAGGTGTTCTCTACCCTTAGGCCTACCACCGTGCCAAATTTCAGATTTTGAACTGCGATAGGGAGAAAGCTGCAGAAAAGTGTGGCTGGCGATTTTTGTGGGTGGCCAACATTAGTCACGTCTGTGCCACCCAAGGAAATCGTGACACGGAGCCACCCGCGAGAGGTAAATTAGAATGTGGATTGTTCAACTTCCACCCATATTAGGGAGATAAATCTTGCGGCAGAGAATGGTTCTCATATGGCCGATTAAGTCCTATCAATTTGGAACTTTTGAACCAATATATTTTCCCATTAGAAGCCTTTTAAACAGAAGTAGGTATGTTCCACAACATGCGCGCCATCTAGCGGACAAACGACATCTTGGGTTGGTCTGAATTTTCAGACTTAACCATCTAAATTTTCAGACTGCGCTGGTCTGAATTAAGGTTCTGAGACGATCAGGTCGCAATTTTCATACCGGAAGGCAAAATTTTCAGACAAGCAGTCTGAAACAAGTCTGAAAAATAGATTCAGACCACCAAGTCTGACAAAAGTGGTCTGAATTTTCAGATTTTTTTTAACAGTGTTCACTGTCACTGGTCGACAGGGACGGGCGATTTCCAAATTTTAGGATCACGATTGCGATTTCTCACATATCGCGATTTCATGCGATTAATCGCAAAATTGCAAAAATCGCAAAATTGCAAACAAACGCAACAAAACTTAAATACTACCCATTATTGCACAAAGTTGTGAATTCATTAGTTTAGAAAAAAGAGATATTGAATAGTGACCCAAGCATGCGAGTTGTCAATTAAGCGATTCAATGCTGGCAATTGAATATTGCTCGACTAGGATACGCACTGGTGTGGCATCAGGGAATTGGTGACGACAGAGGGTGCTTCATGAAGACAAATAAGAATATACAGTAATTGAGTCTAGATTGTTGTCCGTAGATTTCAGTGTACTAGTCACAAAAACTGCATTTATTTCAATGCCAAACCTACACTTTCATCTAAAGCTACGCAATTGGGGGCGAAACTTTCCAAGTTGAGAGTTACGCGCTTACCTGTGGTTTTCACTGCGCTGACTTCAGTTTTGACTTCTAAATTGTCCCCAACCCCAAAGTATAACCGATTTTGGGTCAAATTTTTTACATCGAATTGTACATTGATTCTTGCTGTTTTTTGAGTGCTGATAACGAAAATCACTTCCATTTTAATGCCAGACCTATATTTTCATCCCATATTGGGTCATTTTGCACCAAAATTTTCTAGACCCATATTTTCATCCCATATTAAGTCATTTTGGTCCAAAATTTTCAAGTCGAGTGTTTCCTGCAGTTATTAGTGTGCTGAACTCAAAAATTGACTTGCAAATTCATCCCAGCTTTCCACGTTACCAAATTTCGACCAATTTTGGTTCAAAACTTTAAAATTGAGTTGCAAGTTTCAATTGCGAAATGAGTTCATTTTGGACCAAAATTTTCAAGTTGAGTTTTAAAATGTTTCCTGCAGGTTGGAAGCTGAACTCAATAATGACTTCCAATTTTTCCCCGACTCACGCTTTACAAAATTTTGACCAATTTTGGACCAATTTTTTTTTTTAAATTGAGTATGACGTTGATACCAACAGATCTTTGTGTGCTTAAAACGAAAATCACTTCCATTCATGCCCCAGAACTAGTTTTTACCGTCGACGGGGGTAACTTGGGACACTTTTTCACGTTTTTTGAACGCCAGAGGCAAGATTCTCAACCCAGACCATTGGATCCTAACTATGTTAAAGTTAGACCCTTTCCCCATGATTTCATGCTTGTCTGGTTCATTTGCCCCGATTACATCGTTTCCAAGCGGTCTCGAAAGAGTGTCCCAAGTTACCCCGTGACCGGGGGTAACTTGGGACAGTAGGTAATAAGCTACGTTCCCATGCATCTATTGATGTTAATGGATGTAATAAATTTAAGTCACAACATGTAGACCAAGAATTCAGGCCTAGGAACTCTTGTAGGACCGATATTGGACTATATCTAGGGCTCTGTGTGGAGCTCTCTTTTCTACTGGTATTTTCCAGGCATTTTCTGAAAATTTCAAAATATGGATTACCAGAAGACAAAACTGCTCAGCAAGGCATCTCTTTCCATCATCAGCGTAAAATCCGAAGTTTAAGTTATGTCAGGGACCGGGTCAGTCAACTCCTTGAAGGCTAGGACTGCTGGAAACATGAGGAAAAGACTGTCCCAAGTTACCCCGTAAAATTTCGATTTTTGATAAAATGAAGTCTGGACCCAAGATGGGAAAACTATAATCAACGCCCTTTTGCAAATGTTATTGTCTGTGTATGATCGAACAACCCAGAGAGACTAATCAGCCAAATCTGCACTTCACTCCTTGCGCTAGGGTCAACTTGTCAATGTTTGACATATTTGGTCAAAAACCCTATTATGTAGTTTCCCCTTTCTCAAATACTAATTGTGATGTTATGCACCTTTTATACCTTTCCGCGCGTGCCCTGAGGCCTCTGAAACAAAACTCTGCCGCGGGTTTGACGCTAGGAACACCCGTCGCTGAATGGCAGCACCAACAAGCTGTACAGGGCAGGGTGTCCCAAGTTACCCCCGTTCACGGTACTTAATTTGAGCCCATGAGTTGCACATTTCGAACTGCGTCAATTCGCATCGCTCAGCCACACTACGCGCCCACACTCACGGCGCGTACCCCTAGTCTATTACGGAAGTGAGGGACCAGTGCACTCAGACTGACACTATGCAGCCTGTCACAGTCGAGGTCGGGGTGCAGTGTGACTTGCTGGTGCCAGCGACAGCAAGTACCAGTGCTTCCGACTTGCCAGCAATTCCCGCAACAGCAGCTGGACCAAGCTGTACTTCCACCATGTTACCAATGCCTGCACCAAGCTCAAGTGCTTCTGCAATTGCAGCCTTTTGGAAGTCCTTCCTCAAGTGGTATTATTTCTTTTCCTCTTCTTCTCACCTTTAATATTTTTGTATAATTTATTCCCTTTTCTATTTCATGGATCAACTTAAATCCTTTCTTTCCTATTTCATTTGCACCTTACATTTACTTTAAAACGTCTTCTTTCTTTCCAGTTTGCGGTGATGTCTCCGGTGCCAATCCATGGTCAATGACCATTGGTCATGACCCCTCCTGAATCGACGGAGCCTCTGCTTGGAGCCAGTGGCCAGACAGCCCAGGTAATTTATCACAACTTCTCCGCCTTGCATCTTTCTATTGCACTTACTATTGTTTATCCATGTATGTTTCTTAACTTTCCCGAATTTTTTCTCATTTTAGGTTTCAGAGGCCCCTACTCGGGTCCTGCTTGTGCCAGCAGTGCCAGCAGCAGCGCCACCGCCAGCACTAGTACAGCTTCGCAGTGGCATTGCAACACTTCAGGTAATCAATAAGAGCTATTACTTTTTATTCTTTCTTATGCTTCAGTTTCAAATGCATGTTTTGAAGGTCTCATTCATTCTTTTCTTTCGTTCCAGTTCGCAATGATGCTGTGTAGCATTCTCCTTATGCTTCGCGCCAGCGAGCTGAGGCCTTTGAGACACCACCTTGGCGGCACACCCAGTGGCGTAGCAACACTCCAGGTAATCGTTGAGTTCTATTACTTTTTATTCTTTCTTTTGCTTCAGTTCTAAATGCCTGTTCCAAAGTTCTTATTCATTCTTTTCTTTCCAGTTCGCCATGATACAGAGCAGCAGTCTCCTGCATTTGATTCATGGCAGCGTGCATCCTCTACCTCTGGTATGTATAGCTGGGTGATTCCACGCCAAGTCAGTCACAAAACGGCATGGTCTCGGATCGGGACGAAACTTACGCAAATCGTAGGTCTAGAAGTGGGATGACTAAATCCAAAAGCGTTTGGCCGAAAAATTTCTAGAAGCCGAGATATTGAGAGGTTAAATGTGGTGCCGGGACAGCGACACGGAGACAGTTTTTCGCTCGCAGTTTCGGTAATCCTCCCCCCCTCTCTCCCCTCTTTGTCCTCTCTCTCTCTCTCCCTCTCTCTCTCTCTCCCTCTCCCCTCCTCTCTCCCTCTCTCTAAGGTCGAATCGTCTAACAGTGGCGTGGCGTGGCATCCATCCGCCTGTGCAAGAAGGCCGTGGAGGTCATGGTCTTGCTGAAGGAGCGCGGGCGGCGGCAGCGCGGCGAACGTCCTCCTTCACCGACTGCGGCGACTGCGGCGTCTTCGACACTGGAGGAGTTTGAGAGGCGTCATCAGCATGGACTGTTCCCTGCGTGCCTCAGAGTCACGCCGGAGGAAATGGCGTCCTTAATCAAAGACTCCCTCGATTGCGCCAACCCACGGTGCACGGCGAGTTGGAGGAGTTTGAGAGGCATCACCAACACGGACGTTTCCCCGCCTGCCTCACTTTGACGCCAGAGGACATGGCGTCCGTCATCCAAGACTCCGTGGACTGCGCCAACCCGAGGTGCGCCTGTCACGGCCAGTTGGTGCGGCGCCATGTTCCGGTGGCGCAGCACGTGTATCCGCCCCCGGCGCCATCTGGCCCATCCGGCGCTGAGGCAGGCCCGCCTGCGCCTATCGGCCGCCCAACGGGGTCACCGCCTTGGCCGCCTTGGCCACGCCGACGCCTCACCGGCAGCCACCCCGATCTCGACGGGGGCATTGCCTTGGTCACCGTGCCCCCACCCCCACCATGACAAGAAGATAGAAGGGAGGCAGCGCCCACAGTCCTGTGCGCCGCGTCCTCCCCTTTCCAAGGACGGGCAAAGGGGTGAGTCGAACCGTCACTCTTTGGTTGAGCTGGCTGCCTGATTCAAGATTCAGCCGCTCGGCTGCCCAGGTATTCAACGCTCGGTCTCTCTCGCAGAGTCGTTTCTTGGTGACGCCTGACAGTTTGAGGCATTGGTACCATGTCTCTCAGGGCCCCATGGTGGCTAGGCAACCCGCGCCACGGCCAGAGGCCTTCAACAATGCATTGAATGCGCCCCCTCTGCTGTGGACCTCGAACACCCCACTGGCAAGTGCCACTGTTGCCCAGCCCATCAATAGAACCGAGCCAGAGCTCCGCCAACAGTCTGGGCGGAGCAGCCCAACAATGAACACCGGTGAAGCAAGAGAGAGAGAGAGAGCACCGCGGCAACGCCACTCACTCAACAGAGCTATGAAACTCGTCAAGAGGCTAACGACGAGCGAGGTTAAAGAACGCTACAAAATCCCGCGGAGAGCACCGAGCTCCAGAGTCGCTGAACAGGACTCGAAGCGAACGCCAATGGATTTCTCGTGCGGAGAGCAATCCATTGGTGGGTTCACACGCTCGGTTCGAGTCCTATTTAGCGACTCTGGAGCTCAAAATGCATCTCGAATTTTGGCCGCAGTAGTATAGCAGGGGGATTGTCACCCCCGCCATCTTGTGTGGGACAAACCTAAGTCAACCTAAGGTTATCGATCTTGTGTGGGTCAAAACTAAGTCAACCTAATGTTCTCCTTCTTGGTCGGGGCTAACCCGACCTAACCTAATTTTTTAGGAGGGTAAGGTGAGGGGCCTAACCCAACCTACCTAAGTCGCCCGAGGGGCCTAACCTACCCTGGACCCGCCCCTGTCTCCGTGGCGGAGCCGAACCCAACCTAACCCCCCTTCCGGACCCGCTCCTCCCGTGACTGGGACATTGTCACCTCTCCTAATTCAGGTCTGTACCTGTGCGCCACCGCCGCGGGCGCACCTGGTGGCGGCACGCTGACACACGCGAGTGCGGTCCGCCGCCTCGTTTTGAATGCCGCCCGCCGCGACGCGAGCGCGCCCTAGTGGCGTCGACTGTAACTAGGCAGTGCGGCTGTGTGCTTCGCCCGTGCGGCACGTCAGTGCAGACGACGCTCTACAAACCTTCGTTTTTCTTGTCCTGTTTTAAATATTACGTATCTCAGTGATGTGCTATGATCGGAACGACATTATTAGTCAGTATTAGGGTGGGCCGTAAAACACGATTTTTCGATATCGCAAACGTAATATGTAGCGCGCCAAAGTTACTTCATGGCAATACAAACTCAACGCGATCTGGGCCAGCCCGAACCCCTCCCCCACTCGAGAAGCGGCGCGTCGGCAGTCGGCAGTGTGCGCCACTCCTGCTTATCTATCCTGAGGTCGGGCTCGGGTGGCGCGCCGGCCGGCCGGCCCCGCCTGAAGATGTGGCTGACACGCCGCGTGCCGCAAGGCGCCTCGCCCTAGTACCGAACACAACTTTTACGGGTATTGTGTATCTATGTGATTAGCCACCAAATTGTGCATCCTCGCGTTGAAACAACGAAACTGATACCCAACACAAGTGGTATCGGACATATGAGAGTCCCACCGTCATTGCGAACATGTTTAACACAAAACAATGGCACGTTAGGATATTCAAAAGTAATACAAAAATTAACATTTTCATGAATTACCATGCGTAAGAAATTTGTCAAATAAAGAGTTCCGAGTGTCTACTCTTTGAAATAAATTGACAAAATGTCACATTCATACATATAAATAAACATTCTCTTAAGTATCATCTGCTTTCACGTTAGCGTTAACGTTTTTTTACAGTGTACGCTTCAAGAACGGCGCATGGACTGTACGCTTTACGAAATGCGCAATGTTACGCCTTACTTTCACCAGTGTAAATACGCATTTACAGGGATATCCTTCAAGAGCGCCACATTTCTCGCAGTTTCGCATAGTACTCATGAATACCTATCCACCGATACCAAATATAAACCCCCACGAAGTGGAGCCGCTATTCGGAAGAATTACCATTATTTGTTTGTCTGGGGTGGTATAATTACCTGATCGCTCACGGCCGTTGCCATCTCGGCAAGTTCGTAGCCGAGCAGCGGGGCTACGTCGGTCTCAGTGGCCTCAGCCTGAAGGCGTCCTGCCATGGCACGACGATCTACGCACGAACATTCAAAGACCGAGGGGTGTGTGTAGTTAAGATAGCATGCATGAATGCACGCATGGACGGGTCGAGGCGCACAATGAAATCAGACTGAAAAGGCGCTGAAAGGCGTCGATTTCGTTCGGCAATCTATACTGAGTCCACGAAATGTCTCAGATGTGGCTTGAACGCGTTTTATCTTTATTCGCAGCCGCGCGGCGTCCTCTTATAAAATAAAGATGCGTTCAAGCCACATTTGAGACATTTCGTGGGCTCGGTATGCCTTAAAATAGCTTGCCGAACGTAATCGACGCCTTTCAGCACCTTTTCGGGCTAATTTCATTGTGCGCCTCGACCCGTCCATGCGTGCATGCATGGTACACACCCGAGACGAACGCGAAAGAGGAATCACGCGCCGGGGGTGCGTCGTTTACCTGGTTTGAAAATTGTTTTAAATTTCTCCCAGAGGCGCAGCACTTTACGCATGGACTGATTCACACAAAACGTCCACGTTGGTGTTTACAACTGGATACTTCGTGGTATCCCAGGCAACGGCTAGTCCCTGGCGGTATAGCACTGTCGCCAGGAAGGGAGAAGGGAGGGGGGTCGCGGCCGCCTCCTCACTTGTCGCGGTGCATATGGCACATTGCTAATCCCAGTGTGGACCTGGTTAGGTTAGGTTAGCCCTGCAGGCCAGCCTGGCCCGGGGACGTAGGGGGCGGCGGGAGTCGCGGCGTGGGCGGCAGTGTGGGAGACCGTCCCCTGCCGCAGCCTCCTGGCGTGGAAGTCCCACCCTCCTCCGTCCGCCGGGAACATCGCCCGTGCTGCCGCTGCATACAGTGACTGCCACTGAAAAAAGTTGTCGTAATTTTACGACATATTTGGCGATGAATGCTTCATAATTTTATGAATGGCTCGTTTCATGCTCACTACGAAAAAATCATAAATGAGCAATTGTGAACCTTTCATATTTTGGTTGAAAAAAGTGCCTGAA